GCGTTATCGACGCTTCAGTATTCTTGCGACCCTCTGTTGAATTCGCGCAGTTTTGGACTCATATCCAAAACGCTGACAAAGGTAATCCATCACTGTCAAAATACCACGACCACAAGGCATTCCGACCGATCACTGACCATTCGTATTCTGTAACAACGTGTGCATGTGGGCGCAGGTAAAAAAAAAACTGCCCAGTCCCCACGACCTCTCTCACGCTGGCCTAGGTACACACCAAAATGTTTTTTCTTCGGTTATAATGAGGAAACTGTAGTCGAAGGATTAGAATAATTGGGACCATTCATAGAGGCAGGTACTACACTTTGATACTAGTTAGAAGGTCGTGTGAAGCAGTTAGTATTTACTTACCCTCTATAATCACAAACGCGCATACTGTGTTATGATGTGACAATGGTCGGTTTATGCGGCACGAGGTGGACGTACACAAATATTCTGAGAATTCTGTCACGTTGCTGTCAACATCAATCGATTCCCCATTCTTAGTGCAAAGAGAAGTCACGACCGCATGTTTCGAATCTCCAGTACAAAGCTTGCCTTATTGTATAAGATAAAGAACATTTACTACGCATTGCGAAGGCCGATTAAAGTCACTCTGCCTTTTCCCCGTCTTTTCGGCCTGTTCTTTCTTCTACACTAATCAGAGGCAGGTTTCGCCTTTTGCAATGATGACATCACTTCTACTTGAACCAATTCCTGGTACTTTCATTCATTGCCGCTAATTATCCAATCGAATCGCTTTAATGGTGTTTCTGCGCGGCAAATTATCTCTATTTCTCTTTCACTGAAGACTCTATTGCAAACACGTCTCCTGATATTTGCTACTAATAGATCAAGCCTGGTGTACATGCCACAAATCATTCCCTTGAATTCGTGTAATACCATTACTAAATCGCTCTTCTTTTACAGTTCGTCGATGGAGTCGAAATCAACAAGTTCGTGGAGACACGTGATTTACTGGTTGAGTTTCCTTTTAGCCCGACAACAGAGATTGCTAAGACTAACTATTAACTGTAAGAAGACAGAATATATGGTCGACAGCAAGAGAGATGACCCAATGTGTGGACTACCAATTTGAAGGAAGCAGGTTCCAAAATTTAACTACCTGGATAAAAAAAAACAAATCAAAACAGACTAAAGTTAATCTGCCATAAATGCGAGAATATGTGTTAGGGATGCAAGATCATTGTGGATTCAAAAATTGTCCAGTTCCTACAGCTCGATCCACAAAAGGACCAGAGTAACCAACGACCATTCTCTTTTAGTGCAACGCTGAGGTTCTGCTTTGCAATCGGAATCTCCAGAGCCCATGCGTGGTTCATTTGAGCCCCATTTAGACAGGTCGACATCCAGCTAACCCTAGTCCAACAGCTCGGAAGTATTGGCTATCATGAAAATCTTCCGACTGATTTCGATCCTCAGCTATAGTAACAGACGCCAGAGAATTAAACAGAAATCTAAAGACAAATTGGAATAAGAAAAGATGCTTTCCAGAATATTACAATCACGACTGGAATTAGAAGACGACTCTGCGATTTCAAATTCTAAGCTGTTAACCATCACACAACCTCCACGTCCTTGCTTACAACACCTGGGTATTCCCAACCGGTCACCCAACTAGGTACCCGCCAGGCTCGATTTTGCTTAACTTCGTACGAGAACCACAGAAATTTAACTAGGCAACTACAGTGAAATCAGTGGAATAGCAAAGGTTTTCTTCTTTTTCTTTATCTTCTTTTTTTTTCTGCTTCTTCTGCAGCAATTTCTCTTTCTCATTCTTCTCCTCCTTCTGCTTCCTCTCCTCCTTCTCCTCCTTCTGCTTCCTCTCCTCCTTCTCCTCCTTCTACTTCCTCTCCTTCTTCTCCTCCTTCTGCTTCCTCTCCTCCTTCTCCTCCTTCTACTTCCTCCTTCTTCTCCTCCTTCTGCTTCCTCTGCCCCTTCACATTCTTCTCCTCCTTCTGCTTCTTCTCCTTCTTCTTCTCCTTCTGCTTCCTCTCCCCCATCTCATTCTTCTCCGCCTTCTGCTTCCTCTCCTTTTTCTACTCCTTCTGCTTCCTCTCCTTCTTCTCCTCCTGCTTTCTCTCCTTCTTCTCCTCTTCCTGCTTCCTCTCCTTCTTCTTCTGCTTCCTCTCCTTCTTCTCTTCCTTCTGATTCCTCTCCTTCTTCTTCTTCTGCTTCCTCTCTCTTCTCCTCCTTCTGTTACCTCTCCTCCTTCTCATTCTTCTTCTCTTTCTGCTTCTTTTCCTTCTTCTCCTCTTTCTGCTTCCTCTCACCCCTCTCATTCTTCTCCTCCTTCTGCTTCTCCTCCTTCTTCTCCTCCTCCTGCTTTCTCTCCCTCTTCTCATTCTTCTCCTCCTCCTGCTTCCTCTCCTTCTCCTTCTGCTTCCCTCTCCTTCTTCTCCTCTACTTTCTCTCCTTCTTCTCTTCCTTCTGCTTCCTCTCCTTCTTCTTCTGCGTCCTCTCCTTCTTCTCTTCCTTCTGATTTCCTCTCCTTCTTCTCTCCTTCTGCTTCCTCTCTTTTCTTATCCTTCTGCTTCCCTCTCCTTCTTCTTCTTCGTCCTCTCCTTCTTCTCTTCCTTCTGATTTCTCTCCTTCTTCTCCTCCTTCTGCTTCCTCTCTTTTCTTCTTATCCTTCTGCTTCCTCTCCTTCTTCTTCTTTTCCTCCCTTCTTCTCTTCCTTCTGATTTCTCTCTTTTTCTTCTCCTTCTTGTTCCTCTTTTCTTCTTATCCTTCTTCTTCCTCCTCCTTCTCATTCTTCTTCTTTTCTGCTTCTTTTCCTTCTTCTCCTCTTTCTGCTTCCTCTCCCCTCTCTCATTCTTCTCCCTCCTTCTCTTCTTTTCCTTCTTCTCCTCCTCCTTTCTCTCCCTCTTCTCATTCTTCTCCTCCTCCTGCTTCCTCTCCTTCTTCTCCTTCTGCTTCCTCTCCTTCTTCTCCTCCTTTTTTCTCTCCTTCTCTTTCTTCTTTCTTTCTCTCCTTCTTCTCCTCCTGCTTTCTCTTCCTTCTTCCTTCTGCTTCCTTCCTTCTTCTTCTCATTTCCTCTCCTTCTTCTCCTCCTCCCTGATTCTCTCCTTCTTCTCCTCCTTCTGCTTCCTCTTTCTTCTTATCCTTCTTCTTCCTTCCTCCTTCTCATTCTCCTCTTTCTCTTCTTTTCCTTCTTCTCCTCTTTCTGCTTCCTCTCCCCTCTCTCATTCTTCTCCTCCTTCTGCTTCTTCTCCTTCTTCTCCTCCTCCTGCTTTCTCTCCCTCTTCTCATTCTTCTCCTCCTCCTGCTTCCTCTCCTTCTTCTCCTTCTGCTTCCTCTCCTTCTTCTCCTCCTGCTTTCTCTCCTTCTTCTCTTCCTTCTGCTTCCTCTCCTTCTTCTTCTGCGTCCTCTCCTTCTTCTCTTCCTTCTGATTCCTCTCCTTCTTCTTCTTCTGCTTCCTCTCTTTCTTCTCCTCCTTCTGTTACCTCACCTCCTATTCATTCTTCTTCTCTTTCTGCTTCTTTTCCTTCTTCTCCTCTTTCTGCTTCCTCTCACCCCTCTCATTCTTCTCCTCCTTCTGCTTCTCCTCCTTCTTCTCCTCCTTCTTCTCCTCCTCCTGCTTTCTCTCCCTCTTCTCATTCTTCTCCTCCTCCTGCTTCCGCTCCTTCTTCTTCTGCGTCCTCTCCTTCTTCTCTTCCTTCTGATTTTTCTCCTTCTTCTCCTCCTTCTGCTTCCTCTCTTTCTTCTTATCCTTCTGCTTCCTCTCCTTCTTCTTCTGCGTCCTCTCCCTTCTTCTCTTCCTTCTGATTTCTCCTTCTTTTTCCTCCTTCTGCTTCCTCTCTTTCTTCTTATCCTTCTGCTTCCTCTCCTTCTTCTTCTGCGTCCTCTCCTTCTTCTCTTCCTTCTGATTTCTCCTTCTTCTCCTCCTTCTGCTTCCTCTCTTTCTTCTTATCCTTCTGCTTCCTCTCCTTCTTCTTCTGCGTCCTCTCCTTCTTCTCTTCCTTCTGATTTCTCTCTTCTTCTCCTCCTTCTGCTTCCTCGCTTTTTCTTATCCTTCTGCTTCCTCTCCTTCTTCTGCGTCCTCTCCTTCTTCTCTTCCCTTCTGATTTCTCTCCTTCTTCCTCCTTCTGCTTCCTCGCTTTCTTCTTATCCTTCTGCTTCTTCTCCTTCTTCTTCTGCGTCCTCTCCTTCTTCTCTTCCTTCTGATTTCTCTCCTTCTTCTCCTCCTTCTGCTTCCTCTCTTTCTTCTTATCCTTCTGCTTCCTCTCCTTCTTCTTCTGCGTCCTCTCCTTCTTCTCTTCCTTCTGATTTCTCTCCTTCTTCTCCTCCTTCTGCTTCCTCTCTTTCTTCTTATCCTTCTGCTTCCTCTCCTTCTTCTTCTGCGTCCTCTCCTTCTTCTCTTCCTTCTGATTTCTCCCTTTTTCCTCCTTCTGCTTCCTCGCTTTCTTCTTATCCTTCTGCTTCCTCTCCTTCTTCTTCTGCGTCCTCTCCTTCTTCTCTTCCTTCTGATTTCTCTCCTTCTTCTCCTCCTTCTGCTTCCTCTCTTTCTTCTTATCCTTCTGCTTCCTCTCCTCCTTCTCATTCTTCTTCTCTTTCTGCTTCTTTTCCTTCTTCTCCTCTTTCTGCTTCCTCTCCCCTCTCTCATTCTTCTCCTCCTTCTGCTTCTTCTCCTCCTTCTTCTCCTCCTCTTTCTCTCTCCCTCTTCTCATTCTTCTCCTCCTCCTGCTTCCTCTCCTTCTTCTCCTTCTGCTTCCTCTCCTTCTTCTCCTCCTGCTTTCTCTTCTTCTTCTCTTCCTTCTGCTTCCTCTCTTCTTCTTCTTCGTCCTCTTCTTCTCCTCCCTCCTGATTTCTCTCCTTCTTCTCCTCCTTCTGCTTCCTCTCTTTCTTCTTATCCTTCTGCTTCCTCTCCTCCTTCTCATTCTTCTCCCCTTTTTTTCTTCTTTTCCTTCTTCTCTTCTTTCTGCTTCCTCTCCCCTCTCTCATTCTTCTCCTCCTTCTGCTTCTTCTCCTTCTCCTGCTTTCTCTCATTCTTCTCCTCCTTCTGCTTCCTCTCCTTCTTCTCCTCCTTCTGCTTCCTCTTCTTCTTCTCCACCTTCTGCTTCTTCTCCTTCTTCTGCTTCCTCTCCTTCTTCTCCTCCTTCTGCTTCCTCTCTTTTTTCTACTCCTTCTACTTCCACTCCTTCTGCTTCCTCTCCCCCTTCACATTCTTCTCCTCCTTCTGCTTCTTCTCCTTCTTCTTCTCCTTCTGCTTCCTCTTCCCCTTCTCCTTCTTCTCCTCCTCCTGCTTCCTCTCCTTTTTCTGCTTCTTCTATCTACCGTGACCCTTCAGGACGTGATCGATCATGGCTCTATACAATTGTCTATCCTTTGTATCTCTTAGTAAAGTCTGTTTTTTGTTTCTCCTAATCTTTTACAGTATTTACGTTATTTGGGCTGTTGTCCTCATCTTTCTTGCCATATTCACGACTTTTCGGCCTTCTTCAGGTGATTGGAATTTCGAACTGAACTCTTATCCTCGTCCATCGGGACAGATTATTCTAGTTCTACATGTCATCTTCTGGATGTCTCAGTTGTTTCCCTTTAACTCAACTCTCCAATTTCTTTTGTTCACCACTGCCATAGCCATGTATTGAACTCACAATTCTTTGAGTCAAGTCACTGAATCGAACCAACGCTTTTATCTACTGAGCATTGTCTCCTTAAGGACTTCTTCTAAACTCTGTTTTGCCAACTATTTGCACAAACTTGTCAGGTAGGTTATGTGTTGTTTTCCTCAGTCCCCTCTTCAATGTGTCCTTTGAGTGTTAAATTCCCCAAGCCCTCTTTCCTTTTCCTCATTATGCTTCCTAGAAATTACAGCTGTCCCTTTCTGATGCTACGTATAAGTTTCCTTTCTGTTTCAATTTTCTCCATATTCAGTTCATGGTATTCTAAGTATCCTTCTGTAGAACCGCATTTCATTTGACTCAAGTTCATCTGTGAGGAAATTATCCAGCATTCATTGACATATAGGAGGACCGATATTACATAAAAGTTCAGTACACTTTTCTTTGTTTCTAGCAAGATTTTCCTGTTTCTTAATAGCGTCCTTGGAATGACGATAAACTATATCCGCGTTCTGGGTATGACGATAAACTACATCCAACTGGAAGACATCTGATTATGTTTTTGAAAAAATAATGTTGCCAGTTATCCGTTTTTGAAAAAAATAATGTTGGAAAAATAGATTACCAGCTATACGTTTTTGGCTAAATAATATTACCAGCCATACATTTTTCAGAAAAAATATTAACAGAAATAGGTTTTTGACAAAAGGAAAAACATTACCAGAAAAAAAAAGTTGTCGGCATGGCAATATAAATGACCCATTGAGGTTGATATGCCATAAAACAAAACAAACTAAACCTGTTTTCTTAATACTTTGCTTACCTTTTGGAAGGCATTT